ACTCAGGAAAGGCCTGGAAAAGTAGCACTCAGTCTTGGTCAGCAATGGGGCAAATGGACATTTGGCCAGGGAACCCCACCATGGCCACCTTGGGTGGCACCCAAAGGAGCCCAGGTAAGAGGTTCTGTCTTCCCTTTCCCCCCTCCTTAAACTTTTTTCACCTAAAAACTCTCTTATGACTCTAGCAATGTCATCCCTGAAGGCCAGAGATATCAGACGAATGAAGTATCCCACCTTCAGCATTCCTCTACAGGGGGTTTCTTAACGGGGGGGGCAGTCCATGGACTTGGCTAAAACCAATAGAAAGATAGATATAGATATAATTATATTTCAATAGAATTGGTTCCCTCTGTAATACTAGATTGTTGTTTTTTTCAGTTAAAAACATTATTTAGAGGAGGATCCTGAGGCTTCCCCAGACTGTCAAGGGGGTCCATGAAGAGACCACAAAAAGGGCAATGGAGAGAGGCTTTGGCAATGGTTCTTCAACTCCTTGGCCCACTGCCACCACCACTCAAGTGTATGCACTTTGCAGGCATGGCTGTGCACAGGCTCACCCTCCGTTTCTATGTGATATAAGAGCACTGGACTTGTAGTCAAGAAGACCAGAGTTCAAATCCAGCTTCAGACACTTATGAACAGTGGGACCCTGGACAAGTCACTTCATCACCATCTGCCTCAGTTCCCTCATCTGTCAAATGGGGATGATAATAGGACCTGCCTCTCAGAGACCTGATGAAGATCAAATAAGATAACGTGGGGGTAAAGTACTTCATAAACCTCAAAGTGCTACATAAATTCTAGCTATTATAATGAAAAAGATCTCCAATATGCATTGATCCAGCACCTCCTATGTGTCAGGCACTTCGCTGAGGAATGACACAAAAGAAGCTTGGCCAGCCTTGTTGCGGTCAGAAACCCCCTGCTGCCACTTTCAAACGGGAAGATGAGCTGTCCAGGCACCTGCCAGACACCCCACCCGGATGTCTCACAGGCATCTCAGACTCAACCAGCCCAAAGAGAAAGGGGCCACAGCCCCCCCTTTCTTGAAGATAAGGCCACCACCATCGCCATTCAGCCAGGGCCCCAGATTAGAAAGCCAAAGTCATCCTCAGCTCTGCCTTCTTCTCTACTCTTCATGTTGATTCAGTTGTCAGGTTTTATCTGAACCACTTCCATGTCTCTCATAAATAAATGTCCCTTTCATAGGACATAGACCTCTCTGGTTCTCCTTCATACCCTCCTTCTCAGGGAACTCATCCTTGGGAAACTACACTATCCTCAAGATGCATCTGGGTGGTGCTCACATCTCATCCATCCCCTCTGCCCCCCATGGACCCTTTGACTGGAAGGATGGGGCCATGGGCTCTGGAGACTTCATTTAAGGAGGGGCTCAGCACAATCTTCTCCCCATTGCTCACCAGCTCCAGTGCTTTGGGACAGCTGTGGACTTCATCATACCTCCTCCCCCCTACCCAGGGGTGTGTGTGTGTGTGTGTGTGTGTGTGTGTGTGTGTGTGTGTGTGTGTATTGTCTTCTCTCAGCAGATTGTAAGCTCCTTGAGGGCAGGGACTTTCCTTTTTCACTTGTATTTGTATCCTCAGCACTTCACAAAGTGCCTGGTACACTGTAGGAATTTAATAAATGTTTTGCCTGGCTGACCCCAGCTCAGTCCAATCACCCCTTGCCTGGACTGTTTGCAGTGGCTTCCTGCCCTTCCCCCTCTCCACTCCATCCTCCACTCAGCTGCCAAAATAAACTTCCTAAAGCGCAAGGCTGACTGTGTCACTTTCCTGCTCAGGAAACTCCACTGGCTCCCTTCTGTGTCTTGGCTAAAATGCCAGTTCCTTGGCTTGGTAAGTTCTGCCCAATCTGGTTCCAACCTAGTTTTCCAAGTTTTATTTCACGTTTGTGCCCTTCATGTACTTGACATTCCTGTCAAACTAGCCTTCCTGTGGCTCCCAAAACTTAACATTTCATCTCTTACCTCCAAACTTGTGCACAGGCTATGCCTTCTGCCTGGTGTGCCCTCCTTCCTCACCTCTACCTCTTAGAATCCTTGGCTTCCCTCTAGTCTTAGCTACCCTAACACTTCCTAAGCAAAGCTTTTCCTAACACCCCTGGCTGGTAGTCCTCCCTTCCTCCTCAAGTGATCTGGGCTTCACTTCTTTTCAGTACTGTCTCTCAGGAGAATGGAAATTCTTTGTGGACAGAGCTGGACTTTTTGTGCCTGTCACAAGGTTAATACTTAAGAAGTATATAATATCACTAATGTTCTCATTTGTCTAAACCCTTACACCGAGAAACTGCCTTGTTCACCACCTACTAGCAAGAAGCTGCCTGGACATCCTCTTGAGTGAAGTAGAAGGTGCAATCTAATTATCAGCCTCAGGCACCACCCCCTTTCCCCATCACACACAAAGCCTAGACTGGGCACCTCAGCCCTTTTGGCTCCAAAGCCCAGGAGAAGAGACAGAGGGAAGGAAGAGGAAGGGGAAGGGGAGGGGGAAGGGGAAGGGGAGGGGGAAGGAGAAGGGAAGCATTCATCCATAAGGCCCAAGAAGAATGGAAAGGCCCTAGCTAAGATAATGCTCCTTGAGAGGAGTGGGGGACATGTGTTTCTACATCTTTCCTTAGCTGCCCTGCTTACTCAGCGCCTCTTTCCTTCTCCTTAGGATTTCACCTCATCTCTTTTCCAGGGCAGCATGTGCCCTCTGAGGCTTCCGGCCCTGGCCCAGCTCCCTGAGCTGAGACCATGGTTCATGGACCCCACAACCTGCAGTGTGTCCGGTTCTTTTGCCAACAGTAACCAGGTCTGAATCATGTTGCTTCATTCTTCTATTGCAAAGGTTCCTTTGGACAACACCCCCCTCTGGTCTGCAGCTCTGAGTTACAAGGGAGGAAAGACCTCATGCAGTGTGGAGGTCACCTCCCCCTCTGCTCTGGGACCCTGGGGATGGGCATTCTCAGAACATACTCTGCGCAGTCACTCCCTGAGTCCTTCCTGAGCCCCAAGGCACATCAGCCTGGAGAATGTGACTTTAGAGCAGGAGGGGGGCAAACCTGAGGCCCCAGCTAAAATGGAGAAGAAAGAAAAGAGAAAAAACAGCCACAGAAGACTCGGCTTGGATCGTGTCTTATTACAACACCCAGCTGAGCTGCTGCAGTCAAAAGAGACATCTGTTGAGAGTTTACAAGAGAAACAAACATGCAGAAAGCACGACAAACTTTAAAAAAAAGCAACAACTGGCGAACCTTCCAGTAACCCCTTCTCCACAGCAGCCCTCTCAGAGGGCAAGCATTTTCTGACTGCTGAATCCATGAAAGGGCTATGGCTTTCCTGAGCCACCTATCCCCTCCCATGCCACACTATGAAACTTGAAATGTGCCTCAGTTTCCCTCTCTCTCTGACCACCCTAGCAGCCAAATGTTGTCCTTAGGAGACGCCTCTGGCTCAAAGGTGTCTATCTCTCTACTAGCAAGGGGAGGGGGACCAGCCTCTCCATTTAAAAGCAGCAGCACTCTTCCAAATAACCTCAAAAGCTTGTGGGGAAGGGGAAGGAGGAGAAAGAGACAAACTAAACTTGCTGCACAGCCTCCAAACAAAAACAATCTCTAGAAGACTGGAAGGAAGAAGTGCAGGTGGTAAGGTGCTTGGATAGGCAAGGCAGATGGGTGAACAAGGATGAACATAGCCTCAGGTCTCCTGCTGGATTCCCTCCATGCCAGTCACAGTGACAGGTAGGCAAGCCTCGATCCCACCTCCATCCCTCCACAAAGAACCCTGAGGAAGGGCAGGGAAGCCCACTAAATGGCACCGGGGGACACTCCAAGATGCCTCACTATCTCAGACCACAACGCATATGAGTTAAATTCATTCATCTTCCCCCTTTCATCTTGGCCAGCACTGCCCCCTCCCCCAGCAGTGGAGCAGATGTATCCTACTGTTAAGTTATCCTCTTTATTATCTCCACTTATGTGCAAACAAAATCAGAACATTGCTGTTCTTCAAAAATAACCAAGTGTTTTAAACAGTTTTCTGTATGTACAAGGGAACCACTTTTTTAAAGTTTCCTTTTGCACAGCAAAAGATTATAAACATCTAGATCTGAGAACACCGCTATCTACAAAAGAGATGTCTGCAAAAATACTTCACAACAGTGCAAAAATATTTTACACGAGATTATGGAATGAGATCTTTCTGGGGAGGATGATTTCTTTTCTTTTTTTTTTTTAAAGGAAAACTCCCTTTTAGATATTGGATTTCTGTACTGTAAACAAAATGCAACTTTTTTTTTCCCTTTCATCTCCCCCAAGACAGTTATTTAAGGAATTTGGCAGATTTTCAAGGGTCTGAGTCTGAGGTAAACAACCCAAGCTCATGCACCAAAGAGAAGGTGGGGGAGGGGAAGAGACCCAAGATCTTGGCACAAACACACACACACATACACACAGACACACAAGCACACACAGGTTTGCTTTAGAGATGGAAACAGATGTGAAAATGACCCAAAGCTCCTGGCCCTTACATTACTGGCTGGGGAAAGGAAGTTAACCCCTCCTATGTCGGTTCCCCAGTTACCATGAAAAACAGGAAATTCTCAGTCATCCGGAGATGACAGAAGCCTTCTCTAAAACAATTGTTATGTTCTCTCTCCCCCTCCCATGCCTGATTGCCTTCTCCCTTAGCTTCCAGATTCTGCCCATGTCTGTCTATCTGTGTGTGTCTGTCTGTGTCTGTGTTGCTGCTGCTGCTGGGACATGCCAAGGACAAGAAGATGGAGGAGGCTAGCCAGCCAGGCAGCCAGAACTGGAGCAATGACAGGCAGACACAGAGCGATAGGCAGGCAGGTAGATAGGCAGGGTTGTTTACAAAGTGATAGGCACAATCCTTTCTCTCTCTCTCTCTCTCTCTCTCTCTCTCTCTCTCTCTCTCTCTCTCTCTCTCTCTCTCTCTCTCTCTCTCTCTCTCTCTCACACACACACACACACACACACACACACACACACACACACACACACACACACACACACACCCCTTCCCTCTCCCCTCACAAACAAGCAGCCCGAGGAAGTTGGCGGCTCCCTGAGCCAGTTCACAGCCAGGCCTACCCGTGTGTCCTCCCACCCCGGGAGAACCAACTGAACAGGGCTTTCCGCCCAGCCCGGCCAGCACCGCCCGATCCCCAGAAAGAGGAGGCCAACGCCTAGGCGTCCATCGCCGGCAGACGTCTGCTCGCTCTCCTAGCCGCTGCCGCTGAAGGCTCAAGAAGGACTGGTGGGAGAGGGCTGGGAGGTGCCCAGGCCGGTGCCCAGAGCCCAAGCAACCAGACGGGGCGTGCACAGCTGAAAGCAGGACCAGCGGCAGCAACAGCAGCAGCGGACAGGGGAGCGGTTGGAAGGGGAAAGAGGGGAAGCAGCGGCGGCGGCGGCGGCAGGGGAGGCGCCTGCAGTCCAAGGTCGCCCCAAACAGCAGCCTAGATCGAGCTCAGCCCGGGCCGGGCTCTGGCCCGGCCTCATCCAGTCCGTTGGCAAGCCCTGGCGAGCCCCCCGCGTCTTGACAGCCGCTTTCTATGGAGCTCTCGCTGCCCGTGCTCTCGCCCGACAACAGCCGGGTGACACGCAGGTCGGCCCGCAGGCTCTGCACGTCGTTGCCGATGCTGAGCTCGCCGAGGTCGCCGATGAGCCGGGAGAGCTCGCGCTTCCCGTCGGCCGACCCGGCTAGCAGCAGTGCGCCGGCCCGCCGCGGGTCCAGTGTGTCCAGGAGGTCCCCACATTCCACGGGCGAGGCCCCGAGGTGAGGCTGCAGTTGCGCCTCCCCATCTGCCTCCACGTCCTCGCTCTCGCCGTCCAGGGGCAGGTCCAAGTCCAGGGCCAGGTCATCCTCATCCTCGCCGTCGTAGGGGGCGGCAGGGTCCTCGTCCGCGTCACCGAAGAGATGCTCGCGCTGTTGCTGCTGCTGCTGCTGCTGCTGCTGCTGCTGCTGCAGCTCCTGCTGCTCGCCCAGCAGGTCCTCTGTGATGGAGCCCAGCTTGGGCGCGCTGCGGCTCCGCTCGACGGGAGGCTTGTAGCAGCTGGGCCCGTGCAGCAAGAGCTTTCGAAGCGGCACCAGCGGGATGCTCTGCTCGCCCACCAGCTGCTGCTGCTGGTGGCGCGCGTCGTCGCGCCGCTTGAGTCTTTTGAACTCGGCCAGGGCCGTGGCCGACGTCTGATAGAGCAGCAGCGCCATGGCCTTGGCCTTCTCGGCCTTGGACACGAGCACGGCGTGGCAGCGAAGCATGACGGCTTTGTGCTTCAGCTCGTGCCGGTAGATCCAGGCGAAGACCTTGGGCAGGCGCGGGTCGGCCACGCAGTAGGTGACGCGGTGCAGCAGGTAGAGGTGGCCCGGCCGCTTGAGCGCCTGGTCGTCGGCGTGCACCATGCGGATGCCCTGCGCGCTGATGGTCAGCTTCATCTTGGTGCCATGTTTGCCCGCCTCGCTCTTGCCCCAGATCTTACCCACCGCCAGGTCGGTGCAGCCCTCGCCGCGCGACTGAATGGTGGTCGCGTTGCCCAGGTACAGCACAGTGTACGTGGGGTCCTCGCTAGTGATCTTGACCTTTTTTCGCTTCGACTTGAACATGCTGCCCACCCGGGTGAGGGCGCTCTCCGGGCACGCCTTGGCCAGAGACGTGAGCGCCGAGTAGTTGAGGCTCACCGCATAGCCCTTGGCCTTAGCCGCCTGCTTAGCGTCCTCCTCGATCAGCTCGAATTTGTTTCTCTTCCACGGCAGCATCTCCCTGCTCTCCGCAGCTGGGGTCCGAAAGGCAGGCGGAAGGGCAGAGGAGGCAGGTGGGCCGGGAAGCAGGAGGCGAGCTGAGCTTGCCTTCCCCCCAGGACAGAGGAAAGGAGGGATGGGAAAGACGCTCGCGGAGGGCTCTGCCGTCCGTCGGCCTGGCTCCTCTTTACCGCATCTTGGCCCTCAGGAACAAAAGAGGACCGTAGGCTGCGGGGATGGGGCTCCGCGTGGCTCCCGTCGGCTCGCCGGGCAGGAAGGAGGCATGGTGCTTCTGCCCACTCTGGCTGCCCCGGCGGCCCGGGGCGACGCGGCGGGGCGCGGGGCTGCGTGCGCTCGGCTTGGCTCGGCTCTGCTTCGCTCTGCAGAGCTTGCGGGCTCGGCTCCACTCCGCTCGGCTGTGCTCCGAGCCTAGACCGGCGGGGGCTGCGCTCTCCTCCCGGGTTCGGCTGCGCTCTCCTCCGGGGTTCGGCTGCGCTCTCTTCCGGGGTTCGGCTGCGCTCCTCTCCAGGGCTGGACTGGGCTGCGCTTTCCTCCGGGGCTCTCCTCTGCTGTACTCACCTGCGGGGTTGGGCTGGGCTGGACTGGACTGGACTCTCCCCTCCGAGGCTGGAATTGGGCTGCTCGCCCCTCCGGGGCTCCGCTGGCCCCGAGCTGCGGTGCCAGTTAGCCCCTCTCTTCTGCCCTCTGGGCCGCCTCCCCTGCCCGGCTCTGCTGCTCCGGCTCAGCTCCCGGCTCCGGCTCCGGCTCCGCTCCGACTCCGGCTCCGGCTCCAGCTCCGGTTCGGCTCTGATCTCCTGCGCCTCCCCCGACTCGCCTCACATCCTTGCGGCCGGAGAGGAAGATCGGCGGTAAATATAGGCTGGCGCAAACCATTGGGCGGAGAGGACAGGGGTGGCCGCGGGAGGAGCCCGGTCCGCCGCCCGCCACTGAATCAGTTTCAGTCCCGGGCGCCAGCCCTAGTGGTTTCTGGTCTCTTAAAGGGACCTCACCCTAACATTTCAGCAGCGGAGGGGAGGACGAGAGAAGCCGGTACTGACCGAGGCCGGTGCCCCATCCCAGGCCCCCCAACAGGCTCAGAGCCTGGGCTCAGCTAACACGGAAATGCCCCAGAAGGGGGAGAGGGAGAGCTGCCCTTCAGCCATCTGGATTCGAAACTGACCAAATGTAAACAGTCCTCGGGGCTGAGGGATGTTCTCCTGGGCAAATCTTGGCGATGTGGCCGAGCTGCACTTGGAAGGAGGAGGAGGAGGAGGGACGTCAGAGCTGCGGCCCAGTCCCCCGATCGGAGGCTCAGTCATAATCTTGCCACTAGTTTGGACCCGAAAATGAGGGAAACGCAAAAGGACGAGGGATGATGTACTCTGCAGACGAGAAGTCGAACTGATGAACAATTCTACTGGAATCACTTAATTTTACCCAACCCTATAATATAACTCTCTGGCAGTTCTCTGGTTTACACCAGCTTTAAGCCTCTATATGGCCCGTTGGAGAAGTCGGGGAGAGCTGAACGTGACGCCTCAGACACCAGCCTGGTGAAGCTGGACAAGCTATAGCTCAGCAGCTCTTCAGCAAGCGCTTTCTCCAGGAAGCCTTTCTTGATGCTTCCTAACCTAACCCCGCCCCGCCCCCAACTACTAGTGCCGGTCCCCCTGAACTTCGCTGTATTTGTCCTGAATATACTTATATTGGTTTCGCCTTGTGTCCCCCGAAGAAAGGAAATCTCTTGAGGGCAGGGACCGGTTTCTTTTTGTCTTTATATCTCTAGGGCCCAGCACACAGTAGGGCCTTAAGCATTTGCTTGTTTATGCATTGATTGAGAGCTCTCAGGGAAGAGATGAAAAATGAGACAACACCTGCACACTATGGCTGTCAGCCACTCACTGCCTGCCTCTTTCCTTCCATAAAGGTTGTGTGGGGCCCATTTACTTTTTGGTGAGGCAGTGATTTTCATTTGTGTCACCCCAGAGACAAACTTGGGAGGTGGACTCTTACTCAGACTCCAAATGTCATTTTTCACTTGCTGGGCAGAGCCCTGCTGCTGCCCTTCTCTCTGACCACCCAATTCTGCCTAGCCTTTGGGGCCTCCTCTCTTCCCTTCAAATCACTCACTCAGTGCTGCCGACCTTGTCCAACACAGTCGAGGCAAGCTGTTCCTTAGCAAAGGAGACCGAAGTGCTGAGATAAGGCCGCTGGACTTTGTTAATGTGCTTCCCCCCTACCCACCTCAGCCCCTTTGTTCTGGAGGGTACCTGACTCATTACCTGATGTTTACCCCAGGGTCACTTCCCTGGAGGCAGCAGGGCCAGCCTCCCCAGCAGTCCTTGACTACTGTGCATGGCCACCTCTCAACTCTAGTCCTCAAAACCTTGGACCCAGCCTAGGTTACAGGATAATGGGGGGGGCTCATCTTCATATCCAGTAGATTTGGTTCAGCCCAAGGTTGCCATCTTAAGCTTAAAACCAGCTACTCAAGGTATCTGGAGCAATGGTCTATACAATGGGCCATGAATTTGTAATGAGGCCAAAAGAAAAAACCCCTCACGGACCCCTCCCCCCCAGGACTTCCCCGGTACTTCATTGTAGACACAGCCTTCTCCTTACTTGTGGACATTATGTGGACAGAGCTGTAATTTTCCGTGCCAAGGCTGCCAAGGTGTTAGAGAGACACAAAAGCAGTTGATGCAGTGTGGGAGAGGGCTAGACCTGGAGTCAGGAAGGCTGAGCTACGGGCAAGTGCCATCTCCCGGTACCACAGTTTCCTCATCTGTACAATGGGTATAACACAGCATCTGTCTCACTGGATTGGTGTGAGGCTCCAATGAGAGCAGTTTGTTATGTAAACATCAGATATCATCACTATCCCCCCCACTCCAACTGGAGCTTGGGCATCTGCCTTCGGGCCCTGCAGCAAGTGTGAGATGGAAGTTAGGGCCTCAGTGAGAGGGGCATTGAGACACAGGGGTGGAGAGGGACAGACCATGATGTTATTATTGCCTACATGTTTATTTGTCATTTAGGACCTGGAGAACAGGGGGTGGATTTTCTCATTAGCAGATTGCAAGTGAAGACACTGAGGCTCTGGGAGTCCAAGAGGCTGGTGTGGATCACCCAGCTGGGCCAAAGGACACGCCCATTCCTCCCATTAGTCCCATTTTCCTTCCTAGCTCAGGCTAACAAGAAAGTCGCATTAGCACAACCATTCTCCCGCAAAGTTTCATATCGTGGGAAGGCAGTTCTGGAGAAAAAGGGAAAAGGCTGGGGAAAGAATCCCAATTCCCCCAGCTGCAGAGATGAAGAATTCCTCCCAGAAGCCTGGGGAGGCAGCAGGATGGCACAGTGGACAGAGCACCAGCCCTGGATTCCGGAGGACTGGAGTTCAAATCCAGCCTCAGACACATGACACTTACTGGCTGTGTGATCCTGGGCAAGTGATCCAAACCCCTCTTCTTCACCAAAAAAAAGAAGTAGCAGCCTGGGGAGGGGGACAGGCAGTTCATTTGCAATGAGAGTGAAAGTGTGTTCCCCAGAGGACTCCTTTGAGAAGCTATTTTTAAAATGAAAACAAACTTGCAAAGACTTCACTGCAAGATGCTAGAAGCCACACACTCCCCCTCGCTGGGCCTCAGTTTCCTCATCTATAAAATGGGTCAGAATTGATAACCTCTAAGGTCCCTTCCAGCTCTTAAGTTGTGTTCTGTGCATTGGGAAGACTCCATATTAATTTGAATAAGTGACTGCATAAGGAGAGGGCCAATGGAAATCCTGAGGACTGGTTGAGAGATCTTGAACTAAGCCGTATCTTTTTAAATCGAGGCTGTCTGCCCAATTAAAACATATGTCTAAGGCCCCTGGAGATCCGTAGGTCTCAAGAGAAGAGGGGATCGAGGAGGAGAGGAGGGGAGGAGGAATAAGCAGAGACATTAGTTAGGCCTGCCTGGAAGGGCTGCCATCTTGATTTCCCAAAATGGCCATGGAGAATGCCCTCTGGGGGGATGCACTCTGTGGGCTGGGTGGCTGGCCTGGTGTTCCTGGACCCCCATGCTACTGCCTCAGTAGCCCTCTCCAGTCTGCCGGCTCACTTTCAGCCTCTGCAGCCGTCAAGGCCGAGTTCACAGGGTTCCATGGTGCCTCCTACCTTGCAAGGAAGGCTCCAAGATGGTTTTGTGATCCTAGCTTCAAAGGTCAGGCTTGCCTAGGGCTGGGTCTGGGGAGCCATCTCTGCCATTTGGCCCTCCTGGGTGAGGTCGAGGGCTGCCAAAGACGCCTGTGTTCAACTGGGAAACCCAGGACTCTTTTCTGCAAGCCAGGCCCTCTGCGGCAAAGAACAGAGATCTCAGGGAAGCAACGGGGACAGGCGAGCCTGTGGGGAAGTGAGGGGGGGGAATTCCTTTTGTCCCCACGCCATCTACTGGCTTCACTCAGAACTGCTAAGCAGCAGCTGCCTGAGCTGAGGCTTTGATCAGAGGCAAGGTTGAGGGAGACCATTTCTGGGTCTTTTCCCACACGACACTCCCCAGTCATGAAGGTGGCCATCAGACCCTTCCTCCATTCTTTCCAAAGGGCACCAGAAGCACAGGATATCCCAGCCACCATGGACCATGGGAGGGAGCTGAAGCCCAGAGACAGGGCTGTCGTAGGTCACACAGCTAATGAGGGAAAGTCCCAGGAGGGGGATGCAAACCTCTTCCCCCTCCTGGTCCAGTGCTCTCCTCAACCCCTGAGAACAAGGCATGACTTCTTGCAGGCGTGTGTTTTCCAAGGACCTGAATGTTTCTTGAACAAATTATGAATGAATGAAAAAGCATTTATTAGGTATCTACACTGTACCAGGCACTATGCTATTATTATTCCCCACAACAGAAGTGACAACTTTTGTTGAATGTCAGTTACCAGAGTTACATCTATATGAACCATCATATTGTTTCATTTCTCCAAAAGATGTCCAACTAATTCCCTGGTCAGCTCTGAAGCTGGGCATCAAAAGCTCTCCCCAGAGGTCCTTCTGAGAGGTTCCTGATGTAGGCAGATTCTGAACAAGCCTGAACAAGCTAAGCCCTCCACCCTCTGATGTAGAGACTGTGGCCACCACTTCATTATTTTGACCCTAAAGCCTGGGGGGCAGAAATGGGGGGAGGGAATAGGAGAGAGGCTTCTACCTGCTGGTCAGCGCAGGCCTCAGAGCCAGGCCAGGCTGTGGTAGGGAATATAGGTCTCAGGACTGAGACAAGGACAAGGTGGCCAGAGCCCTGGCTGTTGCTGATATTGGGGAGTGGGCAGCAGAAAAGTTTCAAGCAGAATCCCTGTCCAGAGAGAAAGCTGGGACAAAACCAGAACTGTGATCAAACTCTGGGGGCCAGCTAATCTAAAGGACCTGCTGTTCAGGACAGTGAGATCAGTGCATCACCCACACAGATGGGGAAGATCCCGCTCCAAGACAGCCCTGACAAGGCAGTGACAGTACTGGACCCTGCCACTGCCAAAGAGCCCCACAGGTGCCCTGGGTGCCTTCCTGAGCAGCCAGGCAATCCAAGAGACAGCAGCCAAACCCTGGCACATGTGCTGCTCCGTTTGCCCCCCTGGACAACAGAACATGTGAGGAGGACCACTAAAGAGAGTTGCATTGGCACCCAACCTCCCAAGACAGTGACTTCAAAGGAAGGCCCACATCTGGATGTCAGTGTTCTAGCAGGCTTGTGAGGCAGTGAGCAGCACTGCCTTCAAGTGAACACTCATTTATTAAGCACCTACTATTTGTCAGGCACTGTGCTAAGTGCTGGGAACAGAAAGAAAGATAAAAGAAGACAGCCCTAGTCCTCAAGGAGCTTAAATGGGGGAGACAGCGTGCAAGCAATGAGCTACAAACAAGACATATTGGGATCAATACAAGGATTACATTAACCTTATTGATTTCATTAATTATATTCATATAAGGCTTATAGTACTGGCAGCTAGGAGGCGCCATGGTGTACGGAGCACCAGGCCTGGAGTCAGGAAGACTTCCTCTTCCTGAGTTCAAATCTGGCCTCAGACACTTCCTAACTGTGTGACCCTGGACAAGTCTCTCAACCCTGTTTGCCTCAGTTTCCTCATCTGTAAAATGAGCTGGTGAAGAAAATGGCAAACCACTTTAGAGTCTTTGCAAAAAAAAAAAAGGGGGGTCATGAAGAATTGGACATGACTGAAGAAGGGATGAGGGCCAACCAAAAAGGTTTGTATTAACTAATGTGAGGACTGGTCTCCAAGGGAAGCAGTGGCATTAAGAAGCATCAGGAAAAGCTTCTTGTAGAAGGTGAGACTTGAGCTGGGACTTGAAGAAAGCCAGGAGAACCAGGAGGTTTAGATGAGAAAGGAGAGCATTTCAGGCATGGGGGTCCAAGATGGATTGTCTCTTATGAGGAATGGCCAGGAGGTGAGTACCATTGAATTGCAGGGTGCAGGGAGGGGAGGACGGTATAAGAACACTGCAGAGGAGGGGACGCTGGTTCTGAAAGTCTTTGAATGTCATGTTGGCTCCTTTCTGAGGGAGGATAATGGACAGAATCCTGAGATCCTGGGAGCCAGAGCTACTCAGATTGCTGCCACGTGGGCTGGACTAGTTTCTCCTAAGGCCCAATCTCAACTCAGCCAGGTCCCCCGCCTCCCTGCCTTTTTTTTTTTTTGGCAGTTGGGGTTAAGTGACTTGCCCAGGGTCACACAGCTAGTAAGCGTCAAGTGGTCAAGTGTTTGTTCTGAGGCTGGATTTGAACTCCAGTCCTCCTGACTTCAGGGCCGGTGCTGTATCTGCTGCACCATGTTGCTGCCCCCACCCCTTCCTTAAAAGGCATTAAAACTGTCCTTAAGACCTAATTGATCCAGGACACTAATGCTTCAACCACTGGTATATTTCCTGGTAGCTCAGGAGCTCTTCCCTCAGGTTTCTGACTGGTAGACCAACATGGTCAACACACAGGCAAGGAATCAATGCTGCATCTTTGCTAAATATGCTTTCCCTGATATAGCGAAGTTGGTTGGTGTGATCTTCACTGTTAGATAATCTACAACTGTCTGCAGCATTCTAATCCCGGTCCTGAAGCATGAGATGGGGCTGAATCAGGTCTGGCCTACAACAACTAGTCTTTGAGTTAGGAAGCCCTGGGTTCAAATCATACTCTGACACTTGGGTGACTCTGGGAGCTAGCCTCAAGTTTCTCAATTGCAAAGTGAGGATAACAATACAGTACCTATGGAGCAGCGTGCCTACTCTGGGCACTGACAAGGAGAACGGGCCCAGAGAAATTGCAGACACCCATCTCAACTGCAGCGCAGCCAATCACTGTCCCAGAGACTGCTGACTTATTTGACTGGAGAAAACTTGGTAAGCTATTGTCTCTGCCTGGGATAGTTGCAGAGAAAGAAAGAAAGAAAGAAAGAAAGAAAGAAAGAAAGAAAGAAAGAAAGAAAGAAAGAAAGAAAGAAGAAAGAAAGAAAAGAAAGAAAGAAAGAAAGAAAGAAAGAAAGAAAAGAGAAAGAGAGAAAGAAAGAAAGAGAGAGAGAAAGAAAAAGAAAGAAAGAAAGAAGAAAGAAAGAAAGAAAGAAAGAAGAAAGAAAGAAAGAAAGAAAGAAAGAGAGAGAGAGAGAGAAAGAAAGAAAAAGAAAGAAGAAAGAAAGAAAGAAAGAAAGAAAGAAAGAAAGAAAGAAAGAAAGAAAGAAAGGGAAAGGAAAGGAAAAAAGAAAAGAAAAAATAATTCAAAACTCTCTCTCTGTTATAGTTTTGAGTCCCCACCCAGAAACACCACTCTGGTGAAATGCTAGCATTTCAAATCTCTTGTGCGTTCCTCAATATTATATATATACAAACAATAACACTGTTTGGCCATGCTAAGGGTGAACAGTTTGATCACAAATTGTCAGACAAAGCCGAAGAGTAATAAACTTTCAAGAAATAGAGTGAACCTCTCCTGAGAAAGGGGGGTGGGGGTGGGAGATCAGATGCAAAAAAGGTGAACTTGTCCTCCTGGGAGAGAGAGGAGAAAAAATGAGGCATCACAACCTTCCATCTAAATCCAAAAGGACTCCAACAAAACTGGAGCCTCCCAGAAGCCTCACAAATTCATTATTCACACTACCATGGCTTCAGGATACAGGGTTAGGGACCTAAGCCTTAATTTCTGCAGTCTCTCTTATCTGCTTCTTTTCCTACAAGTCCAAAAGATGGAAAGGTTGCAGATTTAGGGTTTAGGGTTATGAGCCTGAGTCAACCCCTCCATTCCAAGGTCAAAGAGGAGGAGGAAGAGGAAGAAAAGGAGTGGGAGGAAGAAAAGGAGTGGGAGGAGGAGGAGGAGAAGGAGGAGGAGGAGGAGAAGGAGGAGGAGGAGGAGAAGGAGAAGGAGGAGGAGAAGGAGGAGGAGGAGGAGGAAGCTGGGAGCTTTCTCCCTGAAACCAGGCAGTATCCATTTCAAGCTTCCCAATCTCCTTGGCGACCACTGCCCAGAAAAGTCCTGGCCAAGATAGCTCAACACCTACTTCTCAGCCATGTTGTGAGGCTTCAATAAGATAATAAGTGGAATTTGGCTTAGCAATCCTAACAGCCTTGTCAGTGATGTTTCTTCACAATTCCTGAAACTATTGAGTCAGAACAAAATCCAACCATCAAAACCAGGTCCAGAATGGAAAGAGTATGGCATTAGAAATCAGTCCTTTCCTCTGACCCAGAGGTCCCTCTGTTTCTGACCTTCCCCCTGGGGAGTTCACTACCTTTAATAAATTCTACTCTGGCTGAACAAGTTGTGGTATATGATTGTGATGGAATACTACAATGCTATAAGAAATGATGAGTTCAATGATATTAGAAAAACATGGAAAGGTTTGCCTAAAATAACGAAGAATGAAATGAGCAGAACCAAGGGAACGTTGTATACAGTAATAGCAATATTGTTTTAAAAACAACTTTGAGCAAGTAAGTCATTTCAACTATTTTAAAACCCAAATTAACTATAAAGGGCATATGAGGAAAGACAGTATCTACATCCAGAGAAAGAACCGATAAATAGATATATGTATAGAATAATTTATAATTTTACATATATATGTATACACACACCTATTTGTGTCAAATGGTGGCCATCTCTAGGGCAGGATGGGGGAGGGAATAAAAAAAGGAAAAAAAAGACATGTGCATGTTAACTTTGTTGTACACTTAAAAGGAATATATAGTAGATTTGCAGTTTCATATGCAATCGTCTTTTTTTTATTATACTCTGTTATGGAAATGTTTGCTTATTCCATAAATTAAAAACAAAATAAATTTTTAAAAAATCCTCTCTCAGACAAAATATGTAATCCTCAAGTATCTGTAGCAACAATGGGGACCAGGGACAGCCAAATTGAATCTACCCATCACAAAGGCATCTCTATCTATGTTCTTGCCACCTTCTTTCTTTTTTTCTTTACCTCAGAGCAGCATGAAAGGAGCCAGATTCCGTTGAATCCTCCCACAACAGAGGCCTGGACAGGCAGTGAAGCTGAGGTGAGAGACGGGGGTCTGCAGAGGGAAGCAGCAGGGAAACAGTAGCCTGACACAACTCGTAATTGGGATGAACAAACAGCTGGGTCAGGGCTAACTTGTCATGGGGGTCATTCTAAATAATTATGCATTAAGACAATATCTTAAAATGTTACAGCTATGGTATTAAAATGTTCTCTTCTCCTTTTTGCCTCTGCTTCCCACTCCAAAATGACAGGAGTTGGGGTTGGAAGGGACCTTTGACATTATCTATAATCCAAATCTCTCATTTTAGAGATCAGGGAAACTGAGGGTCCAAGAGATGAAGTGCCTTGCCCAAGGTCACACTACTAAGGAGCGGTGCTGGAATTCTACCGCAGGTCTAACACCGAGGCCAGGGCTTTGCTCCTGCACCTATCCAGGCCTGATGGTCACTGCACATGGATGGTCTGGGCAGTATTATAGTGAAGGAATAGTGCAGGGTGACATGACATCACGCAGTCAACAGTCCCCAGATGTCCTTCTTTCTGCTCGCATTTGTATTCCCAGGACTTAGCACGGTGCCCAGCACATAGTAAACACTTAATGGATTCTTGCTGACTGTTGACTGACTAAACAATTCTGAAGGTATATGACTTGCATTTGCCCAAGGTGAAGAGAAGAAGCTAGGTGGATTGTGGCTAGAGTGATGACTTGGAGCCCCAAAATACTGAATTCAAATCCTGCCTCATGCCTGTACTGGCTGTGTGGCTCTGGGAAAGTCATTTAATCCCACAGCCTCAGTTTCCTTGTCTGTAAAATGGGATACTAATAGTACCTCCCTTACAGGGTTGTGGTAAGGATCAAATGAGACAACATACGTCAAATGCTTTGTGAATTGCAGTGCTCTACATAAATGTCAGTTATTGTTATTCCTGCTACTGCTGCTGCTGCTGGTGTTATTGATGCTGCTGCTTCTACTGCTGGTGCTGCTACTACTGCTGGTGCTGCTAGAATCCAGTTGCTATCACCTTCAGTGGCCTCAGAGGACACTTGTTGCAGTGAGGAGATCAGGCTCTGGATCTGTTAACGACAATGACAATTATTCCAACTAATGAGTTCGGGGCCCCAGTCCAATGAACCTATTTTACTGGAGCCCACTGGCTTGTCCCACTGTTGTCATGTAGTTGCCTGTTGGGAATGACCCCCAGGAGCTGTGATTTCGGGCATGGGCTTCCCTCAGCCCCTGACAAGTACAAGCTCTGTTTGGGCTCCTCGGGACCCTGGGATTGCCTTCATTACATCTTAGTTAATTCTGACCTGGCTCCTTCCTTATTCCCAGCGCCTCCTTATGAACAAGCAGGCCTGCTTCCATGTGAGCCTGCCCTAGCCGTGGGAATTTCGGGCATTTGCCCTCATCCGGATTCTGGCAGATAATAACGACCACCTTTTCCCCAGGACTCTGAGCTTGGGCAGGGACTGATCAAGGCTTTTGCCTCTCCTTGTATTCTCAGTGCTTAGTATAGTGCCATTCGCAGTGAAGGCAAATTGGAGAGAAGGATTTGAATCCAATTCCCTACTTCAGGATACCTCCTGTTCCAAGGACCTCTGCCCCTTCCAGAGCTCTAAACAGTGCTCCTAACTCGGAACAGAGTATTGAATACAGACAAATTCTGGCTGGGAGGGAAAAGTGAAGGGTTCCACTTTCCTCTTTTCCTAGGAGATGCCAGGAAGGAGACAGCTCTGGCTCGGCACACTCCTTGTGGGTTATGTCTGGGCATGGATCTTAGGGCCTGTAAGTACATTTGTTTCTAAGCCAAAGGCTAGTGGAGGAGTTTGGAGGCAAAAATGGTAGGAAGCCCCCAGAGGAAGGAATTCATGTCCGAGGGGCCCAGAAGCAGTGTTAGTTGCAGGAAAGTCCCGGCTCTTGAGCTCACACCACAGCAATGGCTGACTTGCCATGGGGACGGCTGCTACATCCAGTGCTGATGTGGAAAACAGAATTGCCCAGTCATCAGCATACAAGAACAAGGATGTCTGTCAGTGCAGGGACAAAGGGATGAGGTGAGCTTAGCCAGGTCTCTGCTGTTCCCACTGTTTTAAAGGCTGGGGAAGTCTTAGCAGTAACTGCCACCAGAGAGATGCCAGGGCTGCCCAGCTCCAGCTACAGAAAGACCTGGTACTTCTGAGGAAGGGACTCCTGGTAGGGTGGCTCTACCCTCTTTGAGTCACTGTTGAGCCTGGAAACCACAGACACACCACGCCTGGCTGTCCTACTACCCCAGGCCCAGGCCAGCTGAGATTGTTCCTTGTGGCAGAAGATCTCAGCAGATAAACAGTTGGGCACTCAGGCTGCCAGTTCCTTGGCTATCTGCCAGTTATAACAATTACTGTCTGCCTCCCACCTGGTTTCCCCAGAGTTTCCACTCAACTAGCTTTTCTCCCATTCTTCTGGCTGGCCTGCCCTCAGTGAAACTGTCAAGAAGAAGACTTTTGGCCTCAGGGCTCCCTAAGCAGCTTCCTTCAGTGCCCTTCCTTTTCATGAGGACCCCAAGCTCCAGCCTGGTTGCTCCAGATTCTCCTAGGAAGGAAGACTCAATTAAAGATTGATTGAGGTTTTCTTATGTGCCAGGGACTGTACTAGGGGGGTCCAAGCACAGAAAAATGAACAGTCTTTTCTGGAAAGGAGCTCTCTAAATAATGTTACATTCTAAGAACTAGTACCAATTCTAATGTTGTTACCATGGTAGAACATTATTATGTTGTTACATTCTAATGACTGCTACAACCATTAAATGTTAACAATCAGTACAACATTCTGATGTCGCTTCTAAAAAGTGTTCTTATATTGTGATAGTCTAACAATAACACTCTGATGTTGTTGAATTCTAACAACTGTATTAAATGACTATAAACAAATAGATACGAAAAGTAGTTGAAGTCCAGAGGATGGGCCTCCCCAAATAAGGGCAGAGATCAGGAAAGCTTGGCGTTAATGCTATAGACGGAAGCCCTAAAGATTGAGTCTCTCATAACTGAATTTCAGGCTCTAAGATACAGAGTATATCTGCAGTCCCTTCCCGCCTCCAAGCCCTCTCGAGGGGCTGGTATTTAGGGCTAGTCCAGTGTCTGTCCGTAGGTAATTATTGTTGTTGTTTAGATGATTAGTTGTGTCTGACTCTCTGTGACCCCTTCTGGGGTTTTCTTGGCAATGATGCGGGAGCAGTTTGCTCTTTCCTTCTTCAGCTCATTTTACAGATGAGGAAACTGAGGCAAACAGAATGAAGTGACTTGTTCAGGGTCACACACTAGCAAGTATCAGAGGCCAGACTTGAACTCGGGTCCTCCTGACTCCAGGGTCAGCACTACCATGCCACCTCGCTACCTGTGCTCCTAGGTGATGGATCTAGTCATAAAATCAGAGTAGAAAGTGGACCAGAGGTTATTTAGTCAACGAGATGGGCCAGTGGAAGGCAGGAAGACCTGTTCCAGTTCTGCCTCAGACACTTGCTAGCTTCATGACTTTGGGCAAGGCAGATCTTTCAGGCTCAACTTTCTCCTCTGTAAAATGACAAGAATAAGAATAAGAATAAGAATAACAGCGCCTCCCTGCCGGGGTTGTTTAAGGATAAAATGAGAGACTGTGGAAGAGCTTTGCAATCTTTAAAATACTGCAGAGACCCTGGCCATTTTGATCATTGTCATTGTCACCTCCTCCGTGCCCCTCAGAACAAGTGAGTCCTCTGTGAGCCCTCAGCAGCATGGGGAGATGCCCTGTGGGGATGCTGCAGGGCCACGTCAGAAATGGGTGGTGCAGCTGATTGTGATCCAAGTAGTGGAGAGAGTACTCAAGTCTGTGAGATCTCAGGCCAGTCAATTTACCATCCACAAGTAAGGGTCTACGATGTGCCACACACGGGAGATCCAAGTACAAAGAATGAGATGATCCTCACTCAGAAGGAACTGACATTCTAATGGGGGAGATGTATGTGTGTGTGGGTGTGTGGGTGTGGGTGTGGGTGCTCTCAAGCGCTAGAGAGAGAGAGAGAGAGAGAGAGAGAGAGAGAGAGAGAGAGAGAGAGAGAGAGAGAGAGAGAGAGAGAGAGAGCACAGAGTAAATATAAAGTGAAGAAGGCAGTTTAGGAGGCAGGGGAATCCAGAGAGGCTTCATGTAGAACATGGTGTCTGAACTACATCTTCTGGAAGGAGAGAGTGGGAGATAAGCAGAGAGCACTGGGGTATAGTCAGTGCAAAGCATGGAGATGGGAGATGTGTTGTGTGTCCAGAACAGACCTCCAGTAGTACTGATCCTTGTCAGGTTTTAAAGGAGGGATAAGAACTGAACGAGACCATGGGGAGGGAGTGCATTCCAGGCACAAGGAAGAGCCTAGAGAAGATCACAGACGTGTGACCTGGAAGACTGGAAGTGTGTGGAGGGCAGCTGTACTTGGATATCCTAGATAGACCCTCTATTCAAGCATTCCAAATTAAAAAAAAAAAAGGATACATTTTCCAAAGTAATTGGTGTGAGCCATGGGAGGGAGGCATAGCTAAGAGATAAGCTCATGGGTCCATTTGAGTCTTGCAAATAGTCCCTCTGTCTGTGTCAATTTAGAAATATCACAGCTATTCAACACTCCATGATTAGACACTGCATCGTATCCCAAACTTGTGGCCTGCGTGGTGGTGCAAGCCCAGTTACGCAAGGAGAGGCCCAAAGCCATCTGGGCACATAAGTACACACACACACATACACACACACACACACACACACACGTACCAGATATAGGCATGGCTAGGAGCTTAACATCAGCAGTATTCACAAATGAGGTTATCTGTCCCTTCCTTGAAGGTTCTCCCCTCAGAGTCAAAGGACAGCCTATACCATACCGGGCATCTCCTGCCTGCCCCACAAATATTCCCCTCCTCACTGACTGGCCATAGCTTTGTTCCTCAGTTTGAATTCCTTCCATTAGAGTCCTACTTTTTGGCTAGCCATCAAAATCGAGGTCTCTATGCCTGAGGGGTGGTGGTCCTTAAAGACGTCTTTAAAGGTCTTCAGCCAAGGCTATGTCACTTTTCTTCAAGGGTGTTGCCAGAAGGAGTTCACAGGCAAGTTAGATTGGTGGGTCTCTCAGAAGTCTTGGTGGGGGAGTACCCTGGTTCCTGAAAAGTTACTCACTGATCAGGCTGTCAGTAAGCAAACATTGACTAAGTGCCTGGAGAGGATAAGAAAGGCCAGTCCTCAGCTTCACTTGTAGGCAGCTCGTCCACCAGATCCCTAGGATTGGTTCAGCAAGTGCTCTAGGACCTCATTTCACAGATAAGGAAACTGAGGCCCGAGAAGGTTGTGACTCCACCAAAGCCAGGGCAAAAACAACCACCAAAACAGTGCCAATAACTGGCATTCATATGGCATGTTAAGGTTTGCAAGTGCTTTACACATGTTCATTCATCTGACAAGTATTTATTAAGCTGTACATGCCAGGCCCGGGGCTAAGTGCTTCAAATACAAATACAATCCAAGCAAAAAGAAAGACAGTTTCTCCCATTCCACTTAGCAAGACAATACAAAAAAGGGAACTGAGGGGGGAGATGTGAGAAGGGATGAATTAGGCAGGTGACCCTAGTACTTCCTGAAAATGGGCTTTCCTGGAGGAGATGACCAGTCAGAGAAAGGGATTTTTTGAGGTGAGCCGGTCACACAAGCAGTTAGTAGCAGAACTGGGAGAAGGCTGCTCTCTCCCCACATGCTGCCTCTCCTAGTATCCCCCAATACATTTCATCCCAGATCTCTGACTGCACAGGTCCTCCCCACCCCCCACCCTGGACTTGGCTGGGCTGGGCTGGGAGAAGACTATGGGAGGGGGGAGCCTGCTTCCCTTCTTAGCTCCAGGGTGTAAGGAGGGGTACTGCACACCTCCAATATCGAATCAGTATTTCTTGGCATTAATCGTTCGTGGAATCCTACAGTGCTAAATGAAAGAATACTTCTCTCACTCATTCTAGGTAAACAGGTGAAGGATGTGCAGGTTGGGGTGGGGGGGCGGGGAGGAGGCACAGATCCCAACCCAGAATTCCAGGCCACTGGGAGTGATTGGCTAACACTCGTTCTGGATCAGCAGCATAATTTTAGTGAAAATGCACAAGGCTGAGATGCTGAACCACCCAAAGGGTGACTTTCCTCTAAATCATTGTAAGGAGAAAAGAGGCATAGAACACCCCATCTCCCATCTCCGGTCTTTACACTGCACACCTTCCCCCCCCATGACTAGGGTGCTCTCCTGCCTAATGTCTACCTTTTCAGCTCCCCGACTTATTTCAAGACTCAGACGACAACAAGAAGTCAGAATTTATTCGAGCACTTCAAGGTCTGCAGAGCATTTTACCAATATAATCTTATTGGATCCTCACTACATCTCTGGGAGGGAGGTGCTGTTATTATCCCCCTTTTATAGAGGAGGAAACTGGTTCAGAAGTTACCCAGGGTCCCCCAGCAAGGAAGTGTCAGAAGCTGGACTTGAACGCGGTCTTCCTGACTCTGCATAAGAGGCCTCTCTGGTCTCCTCGTCGCTCTTGCCTCCCCGCTAAGGGTCCGTTCCGTTTGTCCTGTGGGTGCCATCACTGTTTGCCTGTGCTCTGCCCCCATTAGGGTGGAAGCTCCTCTAGGGCAGGGACTGTGGTTTTGCATTTTCAGCACAGTATGGCAAACTGAATAAATGCTAGTTGACTGAGTGACTGACTGACTTCTCTGGGCCTCAGTTTCCTTATCTGTGAACCGGGCTCCGACGGACATAGAGTGAAGGAAGTGCTTTGCAAACTGTGGCCCAACACAGGGCAGGCCAGTATGATGACATCGTGAATGCTTTTACATTTTTAATCATTGGGAGTTTAAAATAATCGCATTTTCTTAATTGAAAGTTTAATGTTTTGCTTGGAATGTACTTGCTACTGCGAAGGATGAGACAGCTGGAGAAATCGGCCCCCACTTCCCAGCTGGGGGGGGGGGAGAAAAACATCACAGTCACGTGACAGATGACGCACGCTCCTGCCCCGCCTCCTTGGGGATCCTCCCCTTCCGCCTGTCCGGGTCTTCTGGGCGGCCCCTTTCTGCGGTCGCTCACATTTCTCACCGGACCCTTCTGGCTGCGCACCGCATGGGCTGTACCACTACTCCTCAGAGCCCCAGGCGGACGGGCCCATTGTCCCGGTGACTCCTCGGGAAGCGCTGACCCCACGTGGCCGGGGACACGTCCGTGAGGGTGGAAAGGCGCTGGCGCCTCCGAGGCTCCGCCCCCTCTCGAGCCCCCCCATTTTCTTCCCGCTTGGACTCTTCCTCTCGTGACCACTTCCGCCGGCGGCCGCGCAGGCGCAGAAGAGTCTCCGGAGTGGAGCGGCGCGGTGCCGGTGGAACCGAGTTCTGTGGGCGGCCCGTGGGGCGGACATGGGGCGGAAGCGGGTGCCGGGCGGCGGCGGCGGCCTGGGTCGGGCCCTCATCAAGGAGCGTAACCTGCAGAACAGGGGCCAGCGGCGGCGAGACACGTGGGTGAGCGCTTGGAGATCCTCCTCTGTGTGGGGGCGGGAAGGGATTCGAACCCAGGGCCCTTCAGGGGGTGCGTTCCAGGGATCGTCTCCACCCTCCGCGCCTTCGCCCCGGCCTAGGCTGCCAGGACTCCCCTGCTGGGGGGCGGGGCCCCCACGCGTATCTGGTGTGGACTCTGACGTGGGCGTGCCCCCCCCCAGCTGCACACGAAGGAGCTGGATGATGGTGGCGCCTGGGGCCGCGTGGACCCGCGCTCCGTGACCGAGCCCACGGCCCTCGAGGAGTTCCTGGCCACGGCCGAGCTGGCGGGCACCGAGTTCGTGGCGGGTGAGCACCCAGAAGGCGCCTGCTGTGTGAGGTGCTGCTGAGGGGAAACTGAGGCAGGCAGCGGGAGGGAGGTGCCTGGGAGGCCGCGTGGGGCAGGGGTCTCCAACCGAGGGAGCAGGAACGGGGTGGGGGGGGTATCCACTCATGACGCCCCTGGAACCCCCTTCCTTCGCCACGAGCAGAGAAGCTGAACATCCGGTTCGTCCCCCCCGAGGCCAGGACGGGCCTGTTGTCCCCCGAGGAGAAGCTGCGGCTCCGGGAGCGCCAGGAGGAGAACCGGGGGGCCCTGCGCATCCCCCGCAGGTGAGGCCCGCCCTGCACCCAGGGTGTCGGGGATCCCCCCGCCCCTCCCCACCTCCGCATCCCCCCCACTCGGGCTCTCTCGCAGACCCCCGTGGGACAAGGGCACTAGCGCCGAGGTGCTCCAGCAGGCCGAGATAGAGAACTTCCTGGAGTGGAGACGCCAGCTGGCGCGGTGAGTGTCCTGCCCCCCCCCCCCCGAGGTTGGAGGGATCTTTGTGCTGCATCCCGTCCTCTTTCTAGGGTGGCTCGAGGGGGCTGCCGGTCCAGCCCAGGGCCCCCCATCAATCCAGAAGCTGCTTTCTAAACCACAACCCCGAGATTCCCGTGGAGCCCCCAGAAGACACAGGTTTAAAGGAGGCCAAGAGCCTGTGGCCTCAGGGGGTCCCAGCTCAGGTACTGGGGGGGGCGGCCATGGGGTCCCTCGTTGCAGGATGTTCTGCCCCTCCTGGAGGAGCACAGGACCTGGCCCCGGGAGCCCAGCGAGCTCCTCCATCGTCTGCAGGCCTGAGGGGGCCCTGCCGCCGCGTGGGGCGCCTGGTGGTCAGCTCTTCCTTTTAAAGCCAGGCTGGAAGAGGAGCAGAACCTGACTTTGACGCCGTTTGAAAGAAACTTGGACTTCTGGCGGCAGCTCTGGAGAGTCATCGAGAGAAGGTATGTTGGCGTCCCGCAGTCGGGATCGGGCTGATGCAGGCAGAGGGGAGAAGATGCGGCAGGGAGCACATCCTGACGGGCCACACCTAGAACAGCCAGCCCAGCATTCAGGCGGCCCAAAAGATGGCGGCTCCCTCTGCTCTCAGGGATTTAGTGCATGGGCGTGAGGATGTCCGTGGGGGGGGTTGCAGGCCCCAGAGCTGGAGTGGGGGGAGGGTCCCCAGCACTGGGGCTTCCTGTGCTGCAGAGGACGGCTTTGGGTGACCCGTGGCAGACTGCCTACTGACGCCTGTTCACAGCTTGTCTCCCCCAGAGAGTGGGGAGGAGGGGACTTCATTTTCTGATTTGGTGTCCCTGGCCCCGGTTTGGCCACCCGGAGCAAGTGGACTGTCGTGTTGGATTAGTTAACCACCTTGGAGAAACCAGGTGTCCATCTACGGTCCCCATTGATGGGCCTTGAAAACTGCCAGGTGCCTTTGCAACACGCCCTTCGTGGTCCTCTCGTGCCCTGCTCCTCTGGCCACACTTGGCCATCCTGGCATGGGGTACTCATTTGCCACCTCTGTGCCTTTGTGCCTCCCACCTAGAAGGTTGTCCCCTCTCCCCCACCCTCCCCTTCCTTCCTTCTGTTCTGGGCATGTCCCGTGTGTACCCAGTCCTTTCTACATCCTTCTCATCCATTTGAATGGGAGCTCCCTGAGAGTAGGGACTTTTTTTGTGGTCATTTTTGGTCTTTCTGTCCTTGGCCTTAGCCCAGGGCCTGGCACTTAATAAATGCTTGTTAACTGACTGACCGATCGCATGCAGTGGCAGCCCCTGCTCTTTCCATGTCCCTGCCCTGATTTTTAAGAGGGATTGGGGGCATTTCAAGTCCAGGAGCGGGTTTGTGAAGCATGGAAGGGCTGCGATGGCGGGACGCCTCTGCGGCCGACGTCTTCAGGGCTCTCTGCCACCTTGGTGGGATTCGTGTGATGTGCTGTTCATCCCCAGGCCTTGGGCCCCGGGGGAGCCAGACGGCCGAAGCCTCAGGCCCCTGCTCAGGGGTCTTTGTGACGGACAGCATCAGAGAGTTTTGTCTCCTGGGCTTTGAGATCAGTCTCTACATGGTGGACAGCGGAGGAAGGAGGAGAACTTCTACTCTAGAGCGCCATCGTGCTTAGAGCCCAGCCGCAGGCCACCACCCAGAGGCAGACTTGGCGACCTCTTGAAGGGAGGCAGAGGAAGGCACCCTGGATTTGAAGGAGTTCCGAGGACCTGGGTTCGAGTGCTGCGTGGCCTTGGGTGATCATTGTCTCTGGGCCTCCTAAGAGCCTCTCCAGGGTGAAGATGGTGCCAGATCCAGACAGGGCGTGGGTGGAAGGCCGGGCCTTTCCTGTGCTCTCCTCCCTGCTACATCCCAGACTGAGCAGGGAATGGATTTCCGCTCAGTGCGCTTCCTGGGAGGCCGTGAGAGCAGGCCCTTTACGTTGTCCTTGCTGTCCTCTCTTTGGGCTGCCTTCGTCTCTGAGCACTTAGAAGCACTTAGGTGAGAGAAGCCTGGTTTCTGGAGAGGGGCTGGCCCGTGGTGGCCCTCTGTTAGCCTCCTGAGCCTTGGTTTAGTCGGGTGGTTCCCCTTCAGGAACACTGAGAGCTCCTACTATGTGCCAGGCACAGTGTTAGGGCCTTATGATCATGACCTCGTTTGATCCTTGCAACAATGTTGGGGAGCAGGTGATCTTATCGTGTCCAGTTTACATTTGAAGAAACTGAGGCATATTAGGGGAAATGACTTACCCAAGTTCACCTAGCAGGGATTTGATCTTGGGTCTCCTTGGCTCCAGACCTGGTGTTCTGCACACACACGCACTGGCACCCCCTACCGGCCTTCCCTGGTGCTCTTCAGCAGAGGCCGGCCCTTGGCTGGTCATGTGCTCCCAGCCGTGATGCCATCACAACCAGGAGGGTGGTGGAGAAAGGAAAGCTCGATTTTGGCCCCAGTGGTTACTGGGGGGCCTCACATCTCAGAAACAAAGGGCTCAGAGGAACCCCCGATTGTCCTCTCCCTCCGTGACATCCTTGCAGAATTGGTGGGGCCTGTATTGCCTTCGGTGGTTTTTCCTGGGAGACGTCACTCGGCGTCTGTGGGCTTTGGTTTCCTCCAGTGTAAACAGTCAGTGGTTGGATGCAGTGGGCCGTGGACCCTTCCCTTCAAAGGCTGCCGTCTGGCCGTGGGGCCCGAAACACATCACCTGCATTCCCCAGCGCATTCTTTCCTCTCCTAGAGAATGAACTAGAACCGGAACCAGAAGCATATGCGGAGCTGCGCCCCACAGGCCCTACCTCCCTAAGGATAGCACAGGATTCATGGTGGTTGGTGTGATCGGTGTGTCGTTCTGCTCCTGCCATCATGGGCCATTCCCCGCTCGGTGGGCACCCGTGCTGGCCAGCGTCTGCTCCAAATGCTTGGGGCATCTGGGGCCTTTCATTTCAGCCTTGACCTCTTCAGGCTCTGCCCAGAGTGGACTCAGGGCACCTCCAAGGCCTGCCTTTCCCTCCAGCCCCATCTTTTGAAGAGAAATTTGCATTTCTGCTATCGGTTCCTTCTTTCCCTGGGCTGTTAAAACCCTTTGTAATTCTTTTGAGGGTTGTTGGTCTCCTGGGGGGAGGGGGCATTTAGGGGGTGCCATAGGGCACAGAGCGCCAGGCCTGGGGTCAGGAGGACCTGAGTTCAAATTCGGTCTCAGATGCTTACAAGCAGTGTGACCCTGCACAAGTCACTTCATCCTGTCTGTCTCAGTTTCCTCATCCGTCAAATGAGCAGAGAAGGAAATGGCAAATCTTTCCAATAATCTCTGCCAAGAAAACTCCAGATGGGGCCACAGAGTCGCACGCAACTGAAACACAACAACACCACAGTCTCTGGCCGCCTCTGCTGGGGAGTGGCCCCAGTCCTGTGGCCTGTTAGCTGGCGTGGCCCTCGGCTGGCTGGCACACCTTCCTCAGGGATGTTTGATACAAAGCCCCTCCCCTGGGCAACGGTCACTTCCAGTCGCTTCCTTTCTTACTTTGGTTGTGTTCGTTTTAATTGGGAAACCTGTAAGCTCACAGGGGGTTCTCTCGAGGGTCACACCAGGTGAAAGGGGTGTGTAAAGAGCGGGTTACAAACCTTACAGTGGGGCACACTCAGGGCTCTGATGTCAGTGCTCCCAGAAGTCTCAGGGCAGCCTCACACTCTGATAGCAGCCCCCGGTGTCCTTGGCTGCCTCTTGTCTCGTGTCCCTTTATGGGAGGTTGGATGGGCTGGCCCTAGAAGTCACTGTCTTTCTGCTTGTGTGCTCCTCAGTGATGTCGTCGTGCAGATAGTAGACGCCCGCAATCCCCTCCTCTTTCGATGTGAGGACTTGGTGAGTGTGGCTGGGCAGAGGGTTCACTCTGGCGGGGACTAGGGGCCCTTCTTGATTGTCCAGCAGAATTCCCAGTGATAAATGGCATTCTGGGCCCAGCCCTGAGACCATTTTCTTTGCCCAGGCTCAGGTTGGTCAAGGCAGGGCCAGCATCAGGCAGGTGGGCTCCCCTCGTCATCCCAGACAAGGTAAGGCAGCACGGCTCACTTGGGAGTAGTGCTGCCTACGGGCACGAGGCCTTTCATCTGGCCTGCTACAACCGTGCTTGATCCAGAGCGACCAGGGCCATTTATCTCCCCTGGCACCTGCCTCTCACTGCCCCAGAAGGAGCCCAAGGGGATGGATTCAAGTCTCACCCCAAAGGTGCCAGGTGTCCTCAGAGGAGCCCTAGTGAAGAGACTGGGGTTGGGGGATGGATTCAAGTCTCACAGCTTCCTTCACCCAGAGTACTTGGAGCTATAGCAGCCCTGGCAGGCTCATGGGGTCCTGGCTTCTTCCCGTTGGCTGTTTGGCTGCTCTCCTTTAGAGCCTCATTGGACACAGAGCCTTTTAAGGCTTTGAAAAATGGAGCTCTGGTCGTTGTATGTGGCCGGCTCTGAAGCCAGGGCCTGCTCCCACCTGTGGGGGTCCCCTGGACCTGGCGGCTCACCTGTGAGATGGGCCCTCACTCTGTGCTCATTGGAGGGTCACTGCACCTGAGCCTCCCCAGGGACGAGGAGGAGGAGGAGGTGGTGGTGGTGGCGGCAGCAGTGATGGTTGTGGTGATGTGTGTGGGGGGGTCTGCATTCATCTCATCCTCTGGGAGTCCTCAGCAAAGGTACCTGCCTGTCTTTACTTCCTCCAAATGAGCTTTGTTTTCCTAGGAACGTTATGTGAAAGAAATCAGCAGAGATAAGGAAAATGTGATTTTGATCAACAAGGCAGACCTGTTGACTGAGGAGCAGCGAGGAGCCTGGGCCAGATTCTTTGAGCAAGAAAACGTGAAAGTGATTTTCTGGTCCGCTGTGGCAGAAGGCGACCAGCTGAGCACAAAATGGAAGGTAGTGGGGTGCCTCTCCCCACCGTCAGGGAAGGACACAGGCAGGGGCAGCTGCTTCTGTGTCAGCTTAGGGCTCCCGCTGCAAAGAGAAGGTGCCAGCCCCACCCTCTGTGCCCCCAAAGAGACTGATAATGGCCATGATTCTTTGTGGTGAGGGGGGAGGCAGCGTGGGGACTTGGGAGATGACTTTGTGGTGGCCATTAGCAGGAGTCAGCACCTTTATAGCTAAGGCAGTGACCTGGCCATCTTTGGGTAGGGGCTCTTGATTTCTCTTTTAAAGCAAAGAAATATTTTGCAAGGTGGGGGCAGCAAGGTGGCACCGTGGATGGAGCACCGGCCCTGAATCAGGAGGACCTGAGTTCAAATCTGGCCTCTAACACTCACACTCTCTCCCCCTCTACTTTTCACCTTCTTCTGGCCACTCCCCACCAGGGTTCCACTCCCAAACCTTCCCCTTCCATGTGCCCCTATCCCCTTTGACATTTCACCCCTTGGTCTTCTCCAGGCTGAATTTCCCCCATTTTCTCTCACAGAACATTAGGGTAGAGGCAGGTTCACAGGCTGCGCCCTGGTCCTTCAGGGCACTTTGGGGTCTATTCCCCAGACCTGAGCAGTGGGTTCCGGGGATGTTCTGCACCAGACGGGGTGTGTGGGGACAGGAAGGAGAGTTTGGCTGCCATGGCCCATGACTCCTAGACACTGAGCCGCAGAGCCCTGGGTCTTTGTGTGGGGTCAGCTCTCAGGCCTGGCATCCTTCCTCCTGATGGGCGTTTTGAGCTTGGCTCCTCTGCTGTGGCCTCACGGCTTCCTTCTCTTGGCCCTTCTATTTCTCCTCAGGCTTGTCCACAGCTGGGACTCAGCTCTGTTCCTTAGCATCTCGGATGCCTCGTTGAGGGCAGGGCTTCCTTTTACCTTTCTTGAAGCTCTTTCTCTGAACTTCCCGAAACACTTTCCCTGAAATTCCAGGAGGTCCCTCTCCCCAAACCCAGGGCTCAGACCCTTCCCTGTCACAAAGACCCGCAGCAGTGCCCAGGTTTAGTCAGCCTCTGACCAGGTGCCCAGAGCAACGAACAGGTTCCTAGATAATGGTTAACTTGGGCCTTCTCTGCCTCAGGGTGATATGTTTGAAAACCCTGTGGTGGTTTCACAGCCAATGCCCGGCTCCCTTAATATGGTCATTTACTGGTGGCAATAATGGAGGGAGTCCTGTCTGCCTTCAGCAGGAGAAGAGTTTTGTCTATCTCAGCTTAAGAACATGTTGCCTTCTTAATCCCCTCCTTTCCGGATGGTCCTGGGACTTCTCTTTGTCCTTTGTCTAGAGGATTCATGGAGTTCCATTCGTGTGAAGGCTGTGGTGCCTAAACCTTTTTTCAGCTTCTCTGGGTTTTTTCATTTGGCTAGGAGCAAGAAGCTGAGAGTTCAGAGGAGTCCGAAGAGTGGGAAGATGAAGTAGAAGATGAGCAGAGTGGTGTCGGTGGCCCGGAGGCCCAAGGGGGTGGTGAGTGGCCCCCCAGCGAGGACGGCGACAGTGAGTATGAGGATTGTCTGGACGACGATGACCAGTGGCAGACATGCTCTGAGGATGACGGAGACAGCCACGAAGCAGAGTCCTGCTGCCGGGAGAATGAGGCTGGGGGCAGCCTGGAGCAGGAGCCACTGCGCCCAGCCAGGGATGCCCGAGTGCAGAACAACAGCCACCTGGTAGAAAAGGAGGAGCTGCTGGACCTCTTCAGAACGATGCATTCTGGGAAGAAGGTCAAGGAGGGGCAGCTCACCGTGGGGCTGGTGAGTGGCCAGTCGTTGGCAGGATGAGCCTGTCACAAGAAGGGAATTCTAGGGAAAGTGCACTGGAACCTTCAGTGGCCGCCAGGGAAAAGGCAGCCTTGTTTAGGGGGGTTCTGCTCGATGTGGGCACTAGTCACATGGCCGTGTAAAGGGCTGCTCGTTGACCAACACCATTCTGCCTTCCAAATGCCCAGGGTCTGGCTCCCAAGTGGACCCAGGACATGGGGTGAGGTAAGGGCCTTCCTCAAGGCAGCCCCTCTTTCTAGCTGAGGGCTTGCCAAGCACTTCCCTCCCAACGGCTTATCTGGGGCAGCCTGGGAGAGAGCCTGGAGGGCCAGCCTGGGAGCCAAGAAGACCTGGGCTTGAATCCCACCTCAGGTAGGTTTGTGTGACCCTGGGCAAGTCCCTGGACTTCTGTGCCTCAGTTTCCCTTGTTTGTCCAATGAAGGGTGGGGAGGCGGGCTCAGTGGCTGCGCTCTAAATCTGGGCCCTGGAGTCCTGCATTCTCCAACTTGCCCATCCCTGTCCCACCAGCAATGAGTCCCTGGGATGGGATTCAGACCCAACATCCTGACTGTTCAGCCTGACCTCACGGTAACTCTCTTATTCTGAGAGTCAGTCGGTTACAAAAGTCTTCCCAAACCATTGGGACTAGAGTGAAGGATGGCCCAGGCAGGGCAGGCCAGAGGGGGCCTGGATGGGCCCCTGGTCTTCTTCCAGAAGTGGGGGGGATGGCATCGCCAGGCCCTCAGCCTGCGTGCACTAGCACCTACCCTGCACCAGGCCCTGACCATGCACAGACCAGAGAGGCTATTCCTGCCCTCAGAGAGCTCACATTCTAATGGGGAGGCAGCCTGTGTGTGCACAGGCATACAAAATATTTGTGTACCCCCCAGAATAACATATACAGTATTTGTGGGGGGTGCAGCTACTAAGAGCCGGGGGCATCAGGAAGGGCTTTGTGTAGAAGGGGTGAGGTTTCAGGGGTTTCTCAGCACCAGAGGCGAGGGAGGGAGCGAGCTCAGTCCAGGCATGAGTGCTGCGTGTGCCAGGGGACGAGGGGTCAAGAGATGGGTGGGGGTTGGGGCCAGGGAACGTGTGAAGGAAATCCGTGTGGAATGGTGAGTTTGGGAATGGCATGTTGTTGGGGGCGAGCGTGTCCCCCCCCCCATAGAGAGGTGGGTCTTCCTGGGAAGCCCAGGCAGCCAGTGTGGTTGCCCACATCCTGCCTGTCATTTAGCTGGCCCACAGATGCCAGGCTAGGGCTGTGGACGTACGGAAGGACTGACAGCTCGGGCTCCCACCAGACTCCCGTGTGTGCACGTCAGTCATAATCAAGTGCGGTGCCCCTGGGTGCCAGGCCTAGCAGTGGGGACATGGAAAGTCCGAGGGTCTGTGCTGGGCCTTGGGGCGTGATCGTCTCCCATCTCGGGTCGCTCCTCTCTCCAGGTTGGCTACCCCAACGTCGGAAAGAGCTCGACGATCAACACCATCTTTGGGAACAAGAAGGTGTCTGTGTCGGCCACACCCGGGCACACCAAACACTTCCAGGTAGTTGCGGGGGGCTGTGTGCGTGGGCCCTTCGCTCTGCCCTCTCCTGCTTGAGAGCCAGGCAAACCTCGGGCTCCTCTTTCAGACCCTCTATGTGGAGCCCGGCCTGTGTCTGTGCGACTGTCCTGGCCTGGTGATGCCATCCTTTGCGTCTACCAAGGCTGAGATGATCTGCTGTGGGATTCTGCCCATCGACCAGATGAGAGACCACGTGCCCCCCATTTCTTTCATATCCTTTCTTCGTTGGGGAGTTCAGGTGTTAGGTGGGGGTGAGTCCTGTCAGGCTGCTGATGCTGGGCTTCTGTGTCTGCCAAGGCAGCCCCCCTCGCAGGGCAGCAAGGGGAACGTCGGCTCTCAGACGCTCCATCAGCATCATGGGGGATCTTCCCCGGGGCCGAGGTTCCCGGGACGGGCACAGAGGTCCAGGTCACTTCCTTTACGAACTTACATTTGCCAGAACATTCCAAGACATGTCCTAGAAGCCACCTATGGGATTCACATCATGCAGCCCCGAGAAGATGAAGACCCCAATCGACAGCCCACCTCAGAAGAGCTGCTGGCGGCTTATGGGAGTGAGTTCCCTGGGTGTGCGTACACGTGCGTGAGTGTGCAGGAAAGGAGCCAATCAGAGCTGGCTTTGGACTCCCAGGTCCTGGGTTCCAGTCCTGACCCTGGCCAGGTCATTTGCAAGGAGAGTTTGATGGGGACACTCCACGTTTCTCAGCCCCTTTGAGGATCTTTCAGTCTCTGACTTTCATGTCGGGTTTTTTTCTGTGGAAGTTAAAGTCAGCGCTTGATAGGAAATGGAAATAGGAGTCTGGGAATAACTCCCATCCTGTGCCAGGCCCCTCGCCTTCAGCTTTCAGGCTCTGTTTAGAACAGCCCCTGGGCTTGGGAGGCGCCCCTTGGGGGCATGACACGCCGTGGGCAGCTCGCTGTGGGGGGGGAGCAGGCTGCTGTCTGTGCCCCCGCAGGGGCGGTCCTCATGCTGGATGCTCAGGTAACAGTGGGAACCTGGGTCCTTGCTCCTAATCTCCTTGGGTCTTTCTCAGGCATGAGAGGGTTTATGACTGCCCACGGACAGCCTGACCAGCCCCGAGCTGCCCGATACATCCTGAAGGACTACGTCAGGGTAAGTGTGGTCTCCTGCTCACACCTCTCTGGGGCCGCCTGCCTGCCCGAGGACCGGGGTGGAGTTGGGGGCTGAGGATCTGGGGTGCTGGCAGGCCATGCTGACCTCACCTTTCGTCACCCGCAGAGCTGGGCACAAGGGGCACTATTCCCAGCTGCCCTGGCCCCTGGGGGCTGCGAGGCAGGGCACGACGAGCCTGGGCTGGGTCGGTGGTTTAGTCTGGCCAGGGCAGGTGTGTCCCAAAGCCCCCGCTTGGTGGCCGGGCAGGACACATGATTTCACTGGCCTTGCTTGGGCTGCGCTTTTCTAGAATTGAAGGTTCACCAGGGAAGTCCCCCGGGCCCTGGGTTTGCGAGGGAGGGCCTGGGCCAACTGGCCTTCAGTCTTTTCCCTTTCCCTCAGAGGGATGCCTGTGATGGACATTTGGGTCTCGGCTTCCTCCTCAGACCCTTCCCGCGGTGGCCAGAGGCAGCTCTGCTCTTTGGTCTCGGTGGGGGGCTAGTCTCTGTCGCTCGTCTGGCTGCCCCACCTCCTCTGCTCCCAGGCACAGGGCCTGCCCCTCTTTGGGGCACCTGCCAACCCAGAGCCGGCCCTGACTGTTGTTCCAGGGTAAGCTGCTGTACTGCCACCCTCCTCCCGGCATCGAGGCTGGGGACTTTCAGCCTCAGCATGAGAAACTGAGGCACGGTGGAGGGAGGCCGGAGGCACAGCCACCACGGCAGAGCTGCCACAAGGCTAAGCAGATTGAGAATGTGGTTGACCGAGCGTTCTTTCACCAGGTAAGATCGCGAGTGGGCCTCCTGGAGGTGGGCCCTGGAGGTGCTCTGCACACGCTGAGTGCCCTGGGGGCGGGGACAGGGGTTTGAGTGTGTGCCTTGACTCTGAGGCCAGTTGTGTATTGGGGGCGGGGCTCAGGAGAAACACTGTTAGGTGATTCAAACAAGGGAGAAAAACAAAAGCAAGGGACCATATTTCCCTGAATAGCACTAACAGTGTACAAAAGGTGAGGATCGTGGCCAAGGCTGGCGCTGATGCCACCACACTCATGCTGGCACGCCTTCATGAAAGTGAGGATTTCCTCTGGATTCATTCGATGAAGCTGTCCCATTAGATCCATCACTGTGAGTCCCCAATAGATTCCACTCATCCTCAAGTATTCAGACATACAGTACTCCTAAAACGAACATTTATATTGTATAACTATGTTGATATTAGTGTATGTAATTTACATATGACGTTGGCTGCAGACCTAGGACGACTTAGGCATGTATGGGGCATAGGCCAGGGCCATGGGGTGGGGGGGGACGACAGTTGGGAGATCGTGGATTTGTCCTTGAGAAACAAGGCAGTTTTTTCAGAAATCATGAGAAGTTGCTCCAGGATGGGCTCTTCGGCCCTCTCCGTGTCCCTGAGTGTCCCATGGGTCCTGTGGCAGTGCCCACAAACTCCCCTGCCGTAGCGTCTCAGGCATAGCTTCTTGTTCCCCAGGAGAACGTGAGGGCACTGACCAGGGGCGTGCAGGCCGTGATGGGCCACAGGCCAGGCGGGGCCCCAGGACCTCCCACTGCCGGCCACCATGGAGTCCTGGGAAGCCCTGGAAGAAACACGGCAACCGGAACAAAAAGGAGAAGGTCCGCAGGGTCACCAGGCACTTGGATGCGTGACCTTGAGCCTGACCCGGCCGCCAGAAAGAGCAACGGACCAAGGCCATCCCCGTGCTCTCCCTCCTGGCCCGTGAGGCGAGGGGGCGCTGACTTCTGGGGCCCAGGTGACCGGGTTTGGCCAGTGACCCTGCAATGAGGGGCGGGGGCTGCTGCGCCCCAGCCTCCGCGTGGACAGACAGGTGGATGGATGATGAGGGTGGGTGAGGTGGATGGCTGTGCGCACACAGGCGCCTTCTCTGCCTTTATGAACCGGGGGAATGTTTTTGGAAAACCGTGTTGAAACAGAGCCAGGGCAGGTCCAGGGCTTGCCAAGGTCCCAGGGCCACGTCCACACTCCCCACTCGGGGGTCCCTCTGCCCCCATGGTGCGGCCTGAGCGCTGAAAGAGGATGGTCACTCATGAAGAGGTCTCAGTTTAGCCAGTGGTCAGCCCTAGAAGCATCCTGTGATAAAGTCTGATCTTTTGGGCAGAGTTCCCAGCAGAACCAGGCCTGGATCTCGGGTCCGATGCAGCAATTCTGCTCGGGGTTCCACCTCCGCCCAGCACAGCCTGTCACCCCCATCTCTCCCAGCTCTGGCTTCCTCATGGGGGTCCCTCTTTTCACCTGCCTGGATTCTGGCAGCTGATCCCCAGGGCAGCCTCAGAAAGAGGACCTTGTCTGGCAGGGGGCTGAGGTCCGGAGGGCTCAAGGGACAGGTGACGTGACATCAACGATGGACAGCTGCCTGAGTTGCATTTCTTCGTCTGCGGCCCAGTTGCCCCTTCTCAGTCTCCTTTCCAGGCACAGCGTCCATCTCCTTCCATGCCACCCCCGCCCCAGCTCTGGCTCCTCTGTGTGGTGGCAGAAGCGTATGCCATCCTCCACTGCCCGGGGGCATCTCGGGCTAAACCCGGGACACCAGCCTCCTGCCACCTCAGGCTCCTGACCCCTTCCCCATCTCTGATTCTGATCTTCCTAAGTCACAGGAGGCTGCGTCTCCCACTCCCTGCCTTGTCACAAGGCTCCTGCCCTCACCTCTGCCTCCTCCGAGGCTCAGGCAGGGAGCTGCCTCCCATGTGGGCCTTTTCTGACCTACTCTTTGGGCCTGTGGACAGTGGCTTCCCAAGGACCGGGACTGCCTTGGCCGTCTCCACCCCTGGTGCTTTGCCCTGTAGTAGGCCTGATCTCATCAATTCTCAATAAAGCACGCACTGTGCCTTCTAGCTTACTAAGCGGGGAAGGCATCCTGCCTCTCCAGTCAGCTCATAGGGGGTTGGGGGCTGCTTCGTCTACCCCTGGCAGGTGGCATTTTCAAGGCTCCTCAGTGTAGAAAATACCCTGCTCTTCACAGGAAAGGTCCCAGAGATGTTGCTACTGACAGCGAAGGACGGTGGGAGAGCAGCCAGAAGTGGAAGGGTGCACAGGGGTGCTGGGAAGCTTTGAGGGGCTCAGAAAGCCAGGGGTCTCCCCTTGGTGTCAGTGGTGATGACCAGTTTCTGAGGTTACGCTTGAGTGGAAAGGAGCCTCGGAAAGCGTCAGACCCAGGCCCCTCTTAACGGGGGAAGGAAAAGGACAAGCACTTAGTGCCTGGAGAATGTCGCGCTGGAGGTAAGGCACTGGACTTGGAATGAGGAAGATCAGGTTCAAATCTCACCACAGACCTTTCTGAATGTGTTCCCCTCAGTCACCTGCCTCTAGGTCTCTGTAAAATGAGGGGCCAAGTGACCTGAATCTGTGTCATCAGGAGGAAACAGGCCCAGGGAGGCCAGTGATAATCACTCCAAGGCCTGTGGGGAGCAGAGTTGGGTCCTGAACTCAGGTTCTGAGAGGCGGACCCTGTGAACCTGCCAGTAGGGGTCGTTCTAGGAATGAGTGCTTTTAGGGTGATTGGTTTGGCACCAAGGAAGTCGGCAGGAGACGGGATGAGCAAAATGATGGAGGCCCAGCCAAGGTGGTGACTGCAGGAAGATGAGATATGAGACCCTTTTCCAGGGTCAGTCAGCAGGGATTTCTTAGTCATGGGGCTGCAGGGGCTGAGACAGCCGCTCCTCTGGACCAGGATGCTAATGAGGTCCAGGCTGGGAAGCTGGGTGCAGACTCAGCCTTTTCCCCAGGTTGAATGACAGCTTCAGGTGGGCCCTGCTTTCTGATCCCCTAGAGGAAAGAGTAAACAGCACTCGGCTCTGAAGAGAGACAGTGCGGCTGGGCTGGTGGTTTCAGAGACCAGAGCAGCACTGAAGTGTTAGCAGACACTGACAGCTTCCTGTGTGTGCTAAGGGTAGGGATGCCATTCCTGGGGCCTCCCAAGTGTTGTGGGATATGCCACCCTGTCCACTCAGCTGGAAGTGTGGATGCCTTTCTAACTCAGCCTATAGATGTCCCCTGCCTGGATTTGAAGGTTTGGCATAGAGGAAGAGGTCCCTGCCCTTGCCAGTGTGGCCCACTTCCCTTTGGGTAGCTAATGGTTGGGAAGTGTTTCCTGAAGTCAAGCCTAAAGCTGTCCCTTTGTGACTTCCACCTGTTGGAGCTTAGAGGGGGCTACAAAGACCATCTCATCCCACTCCTCATTTTACAGATGAGGAAACAGCTTCGTTGGTGCCGGGCAGGATTGGGAGTTGTCCCAGGTCTGCTGGCTGCAAACCCAACACTGTTCCTGCCCCCCAAGGCTCAGTGTCTGTGACAGCCTTTCACCTGCCTGGAGACAGCAAGGACATCTCCAGTATTCAGCAATGCCCCCGGCACAGACGAGGCCTGAGGCCATTCTGGATGCTTGTCAAGAAAGGGCCCCAGAGCTGGAGGCAGCCTCCAGAAGGTATGTCCAGGCACTCCCTGTTACCTCCTCTGATAACAGCTGATGGCATAGCCCATTCACTCAGAGGGTCTCGTTCGATCTTTAAGATACCTGTGTGGATGTGGAGGAAGGATTTGAACCCTCCTCTGGGCTCAGTTGGCCTGGTCCAGGCTCTTCCCCATACCTTGGCTGCCTTAAACCCTGTGCCACCCACCGCTGCCTGGCCGGGCGTTCCTCTCAGTGACTGCTGGAATTGGAGCAGAATTTAAAATACCTGTTGAGTTTATTAAAGAAAATTTCCTATTCCCCATCCTCCAGTAGAGATTAAGCAAGTTGAGTCTCATCTTTCTTCTTTTCCCCTTCACTGTTCTTAAAGGAAGGTATGGCCTCTTAGACAGTTGATGCTTAGCTGCTGGGTGCAAAGTGCTGCCTAGGGAGAGTGGGAGCAGGAGACCATGGGAAAGCAGAGGCAGCTGCGATTGCAGGGAGGCTTCTCACCAAGGGAGAGTCTTGGACCCCCAGGCACAGCTGGAGAGCTTGCAGGTTGACCCTTTGATGTGGACAACGGGAGGGTGCATGGTGGAACCGCTGCCCTCACAGGACAGGTTCACAGGTTGCTGTCCTGCAGATGATCTGTCTCGGAATGATTGGAATTGGGAAGGGTGCTCCTAGAAACAATGGGTTTGGGCCTTTCTAGGTGACTTGAAGCATCTTGGAATGGGGGGGGCTTTCCTCCTCCGTGGAGGGAGACCCTATGGAGATGACCGTTGAGAAATGCCCAGTGTGCACCACACTTCAACCAGAAGGGCCAGGAAAAGGGATTTCCCCCCCCTTGAAGTGAATAATTTTTTTTTAATTTAAAAGTTTTTTAAAAATTCATTTTGAACTTAAACACAGAAAGACAAAGGTGCCATTTCCACGTATACACCACAACATAAAAGGAGGATTCAGTAGAAAGCCATGAATTTCCATTTCACACTGTTTACTTTTTTTGAAAACTGTAATAAATGCTACCCCCTTGGTTTCAAAGCTGCCCTGCTTTTCTGTGCTTCTTTCAGAATTTTCTTTTGTTCTCTGTTGTGCACTTTTTCCTCCCTCCACAACCTGCTCTAGAGAAGGCTGCCATTGGTAAAACCATACTATGCATACTTCTGTTGCTCAGCTCTTTCTCTGGCTACAGATAGCATCTTCCTTCACAGGTCCTTTTTAGTTGGTTTGAGTGATTATAATACTCAAAATGACTTAGTCGTTCTTAGAACAGCGTTGCTACTACTGTATACGTCGAGCTCTTGGTTCTGCTCATTTTAGTCTTCGTTATTTCATGCAAGTCTTTCCATGTTTTTTAAAAACCAACCAGCTCATGATTTCTTATAGCACAGTAGCAGCAGTCCATTGCAAGAGTCACTCTTTTCAAGTGAGTTCCTGGAGGGTGATAACCATGGCCTGCCTGCTCTCTGGGGATAGAAGGGAGGGCTGGGAAGGGAGACTAAAGCTGAATGTCTGAAAAACAGATCCTGTCATCAGGAAGTGACCTGCCTGTAGATGAGATGGTCACAGGTGCAGTCTGTGACTTGCTAGACAGGCCTGGGCAGCACTCAGCCCGCAGCTATGCTTACCCAGCTCTTGGCCCCTCAGGAGGCTGAATGAGAAAGTTCCAGTTGCTAGCCTTTGACACCCTAAAGAAGACTGTGTGTTTTCCCCCCAGTACAAGCTCCCTCCTGTTTTTGGCCTTTCAGAGAGTTCTGACTTCCAGGAGAGAAGCTATATGGGGGAGGAGGGGGGAGGGAAGAAGCTGGAGCCTCAGTAGTGGGAAAGGGAAAGAGGGTGGAGCCTTAGCAGCATGGGAGAGAGGGGGAGCCTCAGCAGCATGGGAGAGAGGGGGAGCCTCAGTAGTGGGAAAGGGAAAGAGGGTGGAGCCTTAGCAGTTTGGGGGAAGGGGGCCAATGCTACTTTTCTGAGAAGTCTTCCCAAGGAGGAGAAGGGCTCAGGCTGTTAGGTGCTCCAGGTGGCTTTGGGCATGGGGTGGCCCACCTCCCCCAACAGACCTCTTCCCTGCCCTGCCATATTTGCCTTTGGCTTTGTGATCCCGCTACTTTACGAAGGCGGTGAGCTCCCCTTTGTAGCTTTCGTGGGTGTGATACCCTAGTCTGCCCACCCCCCAGCATATGGGGAACAGGCCCTTGCAGAAGTGTTGCTCAGCAAGCCTTGATTAAGCACCTGCTGTGTGCCAGGCACTGCTCAAAATACTGGAGATATACAAAGTAAGGTAAAGGCCCAGCCCAGCCTTCCAGGAGCTCACAGTCTAATGGGGGGGGGGGGACAATT